CAGGAACAATTCACACCACAGTCTCGACTGCAAACTAGTATCAAATATCATCATTTGTTGCTTTATGCTCCTTTATCTGCACAGAGAAGTGTAGCAGAAATGCTAAGTCAGGGCCTGAAGCAGTGATGGAGGACCTGGTGGGAAGGCAGAACCAGCCCAGGGGAGCTCAGGTGCATGCAATGCAGATGAGTCACCAGAAGGGCTGGAGCCAGGATCCACCGCTTCCCAGACCTCATTTAAGGGTTGGCAGTGGTAGTGAGGGGATCTTGGTGGAGATCCCTACTTACCTGAGGCTTCCTGAAGATAAGAAGCTTCTTTCCTTTAGTTCTGTGCCCTCAGCTGTTGCATTTGAGCAAATCCTCGCTTGCTGAAGTCCTCACTTGTTGAAATCCTCACATGCTGCATCCTAGGACCTTGCTGCACTGCTGTTGTTGCTTGACTTTCCATTGTGTTTCAATAACTTATTTCAAAATAAACAGAAGTTGCAACGGTTGCTCTGATGTGAACAAATTTATAAAGTTGTTTAAATTGAGTATGTCAGCCTCTAGTGATCTTTTGTTTGCTATGACAATGGTTTTCACAACTGCAGATTTTAATTTAATGAGTAGGGTTTATGAGATGAGTTTGCAAGCACTGGTGTGATGCCTGGATGGTGTTTTAGCAGCCTCCAAACCTCTCAAATCCTCCATGAACCATATTCTAGATAATGTCTCTTGTCCAGCACAGGAGCTTTTTCAATTAATGTTCCTCAGAGACGTGATCTGATTTTGCTTTTGGAGGCAAAGAAATGAGAATTGGTTCGTTTTAAAAATAACCTGTTATGTGAAGTGATGCATCATAGAGCTCTCACACAGAGGAGCAGTTAGTAAAGTATTCCATAGCAACAGCCACATCTTAATAGAAGATCATCTCCTGGACATCTCCCTTTGCATTTCTGCAATTACTGAGTCTGTCTCCTACCATCTGCAATTATATAAAATCCCTCTGGCAACCGTAGCTATTGCTTACATGGAAAATTAACATTGTGGAAGCTATGGGATTTAATAACTAAAAATAAGAAATATGAGTTGTTGCATGACTATCCACCAAGCTTTCCACCAGCTACAAGGAACCTCTGAACGGATCATCATGGGACGTAATTTTGAATCCTCTGGCTTCATGATATAAAACATTACTCTTAGGTTTAATACTTCATTTGCACAATAACACGGAACTTTCCCCCATCCTCTTGACATTAAAAAAGCAGTCATGCAAGAGGCCAGAAGAATATCAGAAGAAAATGAGTTGTGATGCTTAACACAGCCTGAATCAGGTGATGCTCAGGGCGCAGGGCTGAAATCAGAGGCAGACAAGTGTTCCTGTTCTGTATGCTTTCAGTCTTATTTTAGAGCACGCTTCTTCCATGCTGCTGGGAGATAAGCACTGATGCTTCCTGACGTCTCTGCGTCACGCTGCAGCAGTTTTGCTACCAATTCTATAATTCAAAACAGCATTTATCTTTTATTTAGGCGAAGTACGTTTTGAAATGTATTAGGTGGCTTTTATTTTGAAGGAGGAGGCTTTGAAATGCGTTACATTGGAGGTTAGTATTTTCTCTTCTCTACAGGTTAATTATGATTGTACCAACTTTGTCATGTTCTTAATCACAGCGTCCATTAGCTGCATACGGGACTTCATAATCCAGGTTAAAAAGTGCAATTTTTAATTTTCCAGATTTGAAATGGAAAAAAAAAAAATTACCCTTTCTTTTAGAAAAAAAGTCTTTGTCTTAAAAAAATTCAAAACATTTAAAGATTTTTTTTATAGGAGGGGATAAGCATTGGTAACAATTAGCACAGGTGATATTCTTCTGGAAGAACGCAATTACAAAAATGGCATAGATATTTAAGAATTTGGTTTGTCCCAAATTTCTTTTGTGGAATTGCACAAAAGGCGGCCTGCCTACAAAAGAAGTTTTGAACAAAATAAGTCAATTATGTGCTGTAGCTTGCAGGCTGTTTACCAGGCTGGAAAATGAGTCCCAGACACCCACTTGTGCCTGGAAGTATCAATCTAACCATAACATATTAGCATCAGTTGACACTTCTGCTACAGAATAACAAGCCTGGCAACAATACAGAGCCAACAGCGCTTTGAGAAAACCGAGGCAAGAGGAAATAATTATTTTTGATGTTCAAAAGAGGGGAACTATATGATCAGAACGCTGGGATGTGGATGTCAGAGCAAAGAGTGACAACCTGAAAATGAAATTAACTCTGACTTTGGTGGAGGACAGCTGGATATCAAACAGCAGCTCAGAAAGTCAGCTGGTTTTTTGAGGCATGCTGGAAATCAAACCGCAGTTTTCTATCTGTATAATGAAGCTAAAAATGGATCATTATGATCAATGGCTCTGATCCTGCACAAAATATGTACCAAAATTCATGCCAGCATGTGTTCCAGCACCAGTGCTAGGTGTTTGTGATCAATCTTGCTTGCAAAATCTCCTGATTCTGATGGGTTAAGTTCGAATAATCTGGATCTGCATATCTTTATGATGGCAGGAAACCAGGGCTAAGTGAAAGAAAAGACCTGTTCCATGTACATTCAACTTCTGTAGTGCAGAATTTCTCACGACAACAATAATCACATTGGATTACAGCAATCTGTATGGAGGCCAGCGTCAGCCTGCTGGAAATCAGAGTTAATACTCTCTGCTGTCAGGAGGGATGGATTCTAGGTCTGTGCAGTACATTAGCAGCATGATGAGAATCGACTGGATTTGGTAGGAGGTCACCGTGCCCATCTGATGCAGCATGCAAGGAAGTCAATGGCATCACACATACTATAGGCACATAGATGTGGTTGCTACCTGACTTTAAGGGGTTAAATGAAGCATAGATTAGTGGTATAGTCTGCAGAAAGAGAGTAGTCTAAGCAACTGAAGGAGTTTCAGAAGCCCCTCCTGAGAGGTCGGTCATGCCTGGGGAATCTGAACTATCTCTAGACCAAGTGAGGGTGGAAGGAAACCAGCAGGAATCTGTTGGCTTTGCACACTAAATCCTGGGGGAAATACTTCAGCAAACTGAAGTAACCTAGGCCATGCATTCCAAATATCCAGTGTAATAAACACAAAAACACCAGTGACTAATGAGGTGACACAATCAGCATTAAGGTAGCTATTCCAAAGTGAAAAACGCTTATCTGTGCTTAAGAATATGACATCAGCTTCATTCCCCCCTCCCTGCATCACTCTGTCCCCTCTCAAGGAATATTTCCTTCTCTGCTATCTATGCTGTATAAACAAGCTGGGTGTTTAGATTCTCAGTCACTCAAAACTGTCTTCTACAAACAGTCCCTTGGTGTCGCTCATATTGATTACAGAGTCAGTGTCAAAATGAGTATGAACATGGGAATGTTAGAACACAAACTGTTTATATAAACCATAAGGGCAGCAGAGCTCTTAGAAAGGTGCTTTTTATCATTCTTTATCTAAATAAATACATCACTAATTTAGCAAAGGGATAAAAAACCTAAGCCAAGGTTTGTTTTAGTGAGGTAGTTTATTTAGTATTGTTTTACAGACTTCTGTAAGCGATTCTCCCTTTTAGAAAATTATTTGTGCCATGTTGTGTGCTTTCAAAACCAGATAGAACGAACCCTCTTTGCAGAACCAGCGAACAGTCAGTGTGATGAGTCTGTTGTTTGGTGGGAGGTGAGGCAGTCAAAGTTAACATTAAAAGGATCATCCACAACTTCTGCACTAGCATCCTATTCCAGGCACAAATTGTTTGGGCTCTCTGCAAACTCAGGAAACTCCAGGGCCTGTCCCCAGTTGTGTTTGGAAAGCTTTCTTCAAAGGCTCAAAATCCAGAGATTCCTTTTAAAAAGAGACAATACGAACAATGACAGTAGAAGGGCACAGAAAGCAAGCTATGCTGGCTTTTAAGATAGCTGTCTTCACCTAGCAGACTTGTGTCAGCCCCATTAGACAAGCAATGTAGCATATTCTTCAAATTCCACACAGATCTTTGCAGCTTTTTCTGACAACAGAGATATTTGGGTGTCTTTTGTTGGTTTGGTTTTTAGTAGCATTTGTGTGGGTGACAGCAAAACGGGGTGGGGTGAGGCAAGCACTGCAGGAGCTGTTCTGCTCTGCGCTCTTGCAGGCTGAAGGAAGGGTTCTGTGTGGGCAAGGGAAGGGAGTGAAGCTTGGCTGCAGTGTGAATGCAGAGGAGGAGGTGGGAGATGGAGCATGATGGGAACATGGGGAAAGCAGCGTATGTCCTCAGCTGTGTGCAATGATCCCACGGTAGATGGCCTAATAAGGAATGTAGTCACATCCTTAAGTTAAGGGCAGTCAGGGTCTACTCAGTGCTTTACTCTGCTGACAGTCTTTGTTCAGCAAATCTGTGTGTGGAACAGCGTTCAGCCTGCAGTGAGCACTCAGGGCACACAGTCACACCATGCCTGCATTTGGCTGCATGCTATACTGAAATGTAATGAGGGATGTCTTGGGAAACCAGGAGTTTAGCTGCACTAAAAAGCAGACCAATCCCGGTCATTTGTACGAATGAGAACAGTGACATTTTAATAACTGAGCTCACAGAATTGCACACAGCACACTGCTTTTGTAGGCCTGATGCACTGTGCACAGCTCAGCCTGTGCAATGCCTTCAGTCCCTTTGTTTCAGAAACTTCTTCTGAGTGCTGTTTCTCAGACCAGGTGCAATGTTAACCTACATCTCTTTAAGACAATCTGCCTTTCGTCCCTGAATTTTCTTTCTTCCTTACGCCACCCTTTTTCTTTTTCATACGACCAAGTGAAAATAAAGAGAGCTGGCATGTGAGTAGATGAGGCAGACCCCTTCCCTCTCCCAGCTGCTCCTCAGCCCTTCTCGCCAAAGGTTTAATAGCAATGACACAGTGCTGCTTCACCTGCCACAGCTCCAGCCTGCAAAGAACAGGAAGGAGCACCAGGGCAGGCTGCAGGCTGCACTGCAGAGCAGCAGCAGAAGGGCCTGGGAGCAGCTGGGTGAGGACAGGAGCGTGCTAAGGGGACAACGGGCCCTGTGCTCTGTGACTGCGTGCTCCCAGCACAGCAAGGTGTGTTCAAGGACATCTGTGCCTCCACAGCATAAATTCCTCGCAAAGCTCCATCTGGGGCCTCTGCAAAATGGCAGCAAGCCATTTTTGTACAGCATGAGGAGAAGAGCGAGCAATCCGGTCAGTTGTTCTCATCCCCTCGAACAAGAAACGCCGCTCAGGGAAAGAACGCAGCCTTAACCTTCCGCTTTGTCCTCCTCACCCTGGGAGGATTTAGGAGCAGAACAGCGAGAGCGGCTGTAGATGGGGGAGCCTGACTGCCAGGAGCGGCTCTCCATGGAAGAAGCCTGACTGCCCCCAGGGCTGCTCGCAGCACCGGGAAGCCTCCCAGAGCACCGGGCTGCTGCTTGGGGCGAGGGGGAAGCGGGGCCGGAGCCCTGAGGAGGGGGCGAGGCGGAGGGCGGGGCTGCGTCAGGGGCGACCGTTACAGCACCGGGACGAGGCGGGGGGCAGATCCGCGGTGAGGGAGGAGGAGGAGGAGAAGGAGGAGGAGGACGACTGGAGGGATGTGACGCCAGGCAGCGCTCGGCATTGTGGGAGCGCGCCGCCAGCCCGTCCAGCCGTTCCCGTTGGCCCCGCGGGCGGAGCGCAGGCAGCGGGAGCGGGGCCGCCGCCGCCGGGAGACATCTTGCTGCCGCCGGGAGCCGCGCTGTAAGTGGGCGCCGCCCGCCCTTCGTAGCGGCCGTTCTTCCCCGAGCTGAGGGGCTGAGCGGGGCGGGGGGCGTTGAGGGGAGAGGGGTCCCGGCTGCCGCCTGGCTGAGGGAAAGGCGGAGCGGAGGGAGCTGTCTGCTTT